AAAAAAAAATCATAGAAATCGGTTGAATAAGCATTAAAAAAACCGCAAAATAAGGTCCCGGGTACAAACGTATCCCGGGTGTGTGTTTACGTGGTATTTTCTGGGTGTGTGTTCTAGGGTTAATAAAAGCAAATCTCCTACAATTTCTTAATAAATACCCATACATGTATTTCGTAGCAGTGGCACTATTGGAAGGTGTTATGAAAAAATAAAATAAAATAAAACTTTTTAATACACAACGCTTTTATAAATGGACTAAAATGTAGAAAATAATATTTCTCAGTCCCCCAAATTTTTTTTTATAACTTTTGATTTTAAAATTTTAGCAAAAGTCATATAATGACAATGACAATGAACTACATTGAAAACGAAAAACGTGGAGCGCATGCAGCACACTGCATTCGATTTCATTGACAATAGTCAAACTACATAACATTCTACAGCGAAAGTACAAATTTGAAATCGATTTTAAGCTTTCGTTATTCATATGCCCACATACATACATATGTTACTTTTCATATCAATTCAAGTGTATTACATGCGCCCCACGCTTTTCATTTTCAATGTCATTAATTGTTTATAATGACTTTTGCTAAAATTTCAAAATCAAAAGTTATCGAAACAAATTCTGTGGGATTGAGAAATATTATTTTCTACTTATTAGTCCATTTATAAAAGCGTTGTATATTAAAAAGTTTTTTATTTTATTTTATTTATTTTCTACTTTTTAGTCTTGTCTGTACAAAATTTTGCAGTAGATATTAAAATAATTCAACTTGCAGTGCAAGAGAACAGACGACTATGCAAGCAAAATGTTGTTTGCTCACATTTAGTATAAACATACGTGTCGTCCATTTCTCTTGTGACGTATATAAATAGTGCATATATTTAGGCGCAATATTTAACTTCTTCTGGCGTGTCGACCTCAAGAGTTTGATATCTAGACTAGGTTGATATCTAGAATTTTCCATAAATAGCTTTGCTACATTTATAGTAGGTGCATTCTTTTGAAATACACGCAAAGCAAGAACACAAATTAGGCTATTTATCCGAGCTCAGCCAGGTCGGTTAAAAAACACGCGACCTGAAGGGTAGTGTTGGTAAGAGAAAAAACTGCTCTATTGTGAATTGTTAATGGGAAAGTGGAGAGGGAAATTGTTGCTTCCTTTTATACGTGACTTATATTTTAAAAGAGTATATATATTACGCAAATACCTCGCATAATTACTCACTTAAATTGGTTTTTGTATCTAAATCCCGTTAAACTAATCACATCTTCTTGCCAGCTACCAACAGGGTTGCTTAAGTAGCTAAAAGGAAATTTTACCCGAGTTGAGTGTTCTTTTGTCACTCGCTTACAAAAAAATGCAGCTAGTATAAATGGTGGTCTGGACATACAACATTCAAAGCGGACTGGACATACAACATTGTTAGCTGATAAAGGCGTTGTAAAATAATATATTTCATAATCCCATAGAATTTATTTTGATAACTTTTGATTTTGAAATTTTAGCAAAAGTCATTATAAACAATTTATGAGATTGAAAACGAAAAACGTGGAGCGTATTCACATACGCCTAATTCACAAAATAAGTTTTCTTAACAATCGGAGAGGTTATAAAGTAATATTAATGTATTGTTAAGTAATATGTCATACTTCAATAATACGGACCCTTGATCTAGAAACAAAAAAAGTGGGCGTGGCCCGCCCCCTATTCCGGATTTTAACGGCATATTTTTTTTTTAGCAAATTGACAGGGGCGGTAAGGTGGCCTAAACGTCGAATTTCCAACATTTCCAAAAGCTTATATTTTGAAAACTATTGAACTGATTTTCAAAAGTATATAAAATATGGACACAGTTGGAAAGGTAATTGAAAGGCAGGATTTTTTTTTAATTTTCTATGTTTCTACCTACATATGTATATATGTAACTAATTGTATAACATATAGGAGCTTTTGTACATGAATCGAATTTTTTTTGTTACTTTGATTTTTCGTATAATTTTTTGTTTTATTTAAAAATTATATTTTTATGTTTCTTGCTATGTATAAATGTAATTAATGGGAGCATAAATCGTATTTTTTTTGTAACTAATTTTTTGATTTGTCTAATCAAAATGAAATAATATTTTTATGTTTGTATCCATGCAACTAAATTCACGAGCAAGAGCAGAGCACGTTGAGATAGAAAAAAGAAAACGTGGGCGTGGCCCGCCCCTTTTTCCTGATTTTAATGGAATATATTGTTTGGTAGGGGGAGGTTAAAGTAGAATTTTAAATATTTTTAAAAGGTTTTATTTCAAAAATTAAATATGGTTGGAAAGGTAATTTCATTTAATATGCATACCTGTACATATAATGTATACATGTTTCGAGAAAAACCAAAAAAACTAAACTATGGCCACTTTTTAATGAAAATGTATGGTTTTCTTAAAAAAAAATACGTAATTATCTATATTAAGAGATATAGTATTCAGAAAATAAAGATTTTTTTGTACTTTCTCTGATAAAAATATCTTTTAATATAGCCAGTTACGTATTTTTTTTTACGAAAACCATACATTTTCATTAAAAAATGGCCTTAATTTCGTTTCGTTGGTTTTTCTCGAAATATGTACACATTATATGTACAGATATGCATATAAATTGATCATAATCAACAATTTAAAAATTTTTTCAATAGGCTCAATAATTTTTGAACGAAACCCTTTTAAACATATTTAAAATTCCATTTTAACCTCCCCTAGCACCCCCTTAATAATGTGCGAATTTTTTATACCGGAAGAAGGTGGACCACTTTTTCTTTTATTTTTTAGCTGAACGGGCGATATTTTTTACTTATGCCCTAATAGCATAACATTAGAGAGCTTTTGCACATAAATTATATTTTTTTTTGTTAAACTGACTGAATAAATATTATATTAAATAAATCTTTAAACTGCATAAATAAAAATTCCTCTTCTATAAAAACAGTGTATTTCTTTTACATCATTGGCAACACTATACAAGTATTTCAATGAGAGTATTTGGATTCTATTTCGTTCCGCTCCGCTTACGTTTGAGAAAAAGTTGAGAATTCAATATTTCTCAATTTGAAAATAAAGGAAAATTCCACATTAAAAAAGTGCCTTTTAGTTTGAGAACGCTATCAACGGTTTTTTGAGATGCATTTGAGAATTAACGTTTGAGATTTGAGAAAAGGATTGCTTTTCGAATGCATCTCAAATTGAGATTTAACAAAAAGGTTTATTGGGATATTATCCATGCATATGTGTCGCTACTCGCTTGAGTGCTGACCCCATGCGACCACAAACGTAATATTTTTTGGGGGAGGTAAGTTGTTAAAATTTTTTTTGAATTTTAAGTCCAAGTTTGAGAGAAGGAGATTCGTGTTAATATTTATATTGTCTGATACCTCAGAATATGTTTGACTCAAATATATCAAAAATCTGCGTAACCTGACAAAACAAATTGTTCCCCTCGTTTTCGTTTTCGGGGATTTGGGTCATATGCTTTTAATATATATATGTGCTCGTCATTTTTTAGTCCCGGGCCCGAGTTTTCTCTCGATGGCCCTGAGTACATGTGCACATATATTATAAATTCTCACTGACGGGTTTATTCTGCACTGATAACAAAGATTTTGTAGCCTTATAAGGTGTTAACCGCGGTATTGCCTCGTGAAATTTGCATTTTCATTTGCATTTATACCAAAATCAATGGCTGCATACTCAGATACAAATATATCTGGAATCACGGTTACTACAAGAAGCTAAATTTTTGGCATTAAGTTCGCCTGCTATAAAATTATGTGGGACGTGCAGAATATGCCTGCAAATCGGTAAAATATGTAAATTATTTTGCATTCCTTTTAAATCTTCTAATCTCATCTTTCAGTTCCATTTTATCAAATAGAAGCAGTTGTTGGTGAAACAGTACACTTACCATGTGATACAACTACTAATTCTGCCGATGAAGCCAACTTGATACTTTGGTATCGGGAGGATAAAGGAACTCCCATATACAGGTAAAGAAAGTAACATATGTGTGTATATCTTATAAAAACCTTTAAAAAGTATTTTTATATAATTATTTCAGTGCGTAGAATACTAGTTTTCTTTTTTCCTAAGAATATTTCGAATGAAAGGCTACATTCTTTCCGTTATTTTCTTGCTTGACACTTTTGGTTAAAAATTTAACCGTCTAGCTGCTATTGTAAATAAATTTACTGGGAACCAGTTCAAAATGAGAGCAAAGAGCCATTATGGTACATGTTAAAACAACATTTCCTGTCGTTGCTGTAACTTATCAGATATATCTTCTGTGCAACTGACAAGCACTGTGTGGGACCAGAATTATAGCTCAGTTATGCATACTTAGCGTTGCATAAAAGTTGTCACATAGGGAATCTGCTAAATGGGCTTTACGTATAAGCGGTTACCCAGCGCTTAGAAATTAACATGAATAATTCTGTTGGGTTTTGATTTTTACGTAAAAATGGTATAGCAGTGCAAAGNATAGAAATTAACATGAAGAATTCTGTTGGGTTTTGATTTTTACGTAAAAATGGTATAGCAGTGCAAAGTATGCATAATGGTGCATTTAAACGGTATGAAGCCATATGAACAGTTGATATGCTACAAGTAATTTTTAGCAAAAAAAAACCGACTTCAACTCTCATATAAAATATATATATATATATATATATATCTCATGACATACTGATCAGATCTTAACCAGATTAGTATGAGACCACCTCTGAGGCATTGCCTTTCCGATTCAAAAAGAAATATCGGTTGACGTGGTCCAAAGTTATGCGGCAACATACATAAAAAATAAAAAATATTCCGACGAACTGATAACCTCCTCCTTTTTTGGAAGTCGGTTAAAAATAGAGGGACTACATGTTCTAGTGAGGAATTCAATGGTATCGAGTGGTATGCACATAATACATTTTTTCATATTAAAAATTATGCGGAGATACTGTAAACATATTGTTGTACTACTGTCAAGCATATGAAATTTTAGCAAGTTTAATCTTCATACATCTTTTCATGAGAAGTTTAACAGATGCAGGGATACCAATGAGGTTGTTTCCCGTTTTGATGCTTTTTAGTACAAAAAACCGCCTAAAAAGAGGAAAGTGGCAACTCTGACATTCAAGTTTTCACATCCATGTCAAACAAACAAATTCAAAACAAAGAAATTGTTTGTGCTAGAATTTTTATATAGAAGCAACTCACGTATGGTAGACAATAAAAATACAAAGCAGTATGATAAGAAACTAAAAAGCAAGACATTACACAAAGTTTTAATGAGCTTTTTATCACATTTTAGTAAAAATAGGCTGGCAAGCTGGCAAAGAAATGTGTATATTTTGTTATTAACAAAAAAGACTTGCCCTATATATAAGTCAAAACTATAGAAGGCATGTATCAAAGCGAATTAATATAAGGTGATAGCAGGAGTACAAAAACAAAAATTTACATGTATTTTGTTTTTGCTTTGGCAGCATAAACTGTTAAAATCTGTAAGAGTGTGTGTAGAAATTCAAACAAGCCGTGCGGCGAAACACATAAACAAAATCAGCTGAGCTAGTAACATCACCTTATATAAATTCGCCTTGGCATGTATACTGCTCCCTTTAAATTTTTCATACAGTTGATGTTTCTTTTTGGCTTTTAGAAAGTGCAGGGATACCACTTTTATCATAAAATGTTCAGAGAATTAACAAAAAAAAACTAAAATGGTATGATCTCATGTTTCTTTCAAACCGAATGCATATGGTGGCGGTTCCGGTAAAGGCGAATTGTATTTTTGCGAACTCGTTTTTAAAGTATTTGCATACATTAGCTCTGATCCAGTACTCCATGAACTTACAGGATTTTACACGAACTTGCAGGAAGTTGCAGGAAAAATGTTCCCGTACTTCAAAATCCTGTAAATGAGAGCCATTTTTGGAGAGTTGTGTAGAGAATGAAGTTGCAAGATTTTACCCGAACTTTTTCTTCTGGTAAAATCATGAAAAGTGTCAAGCAATCACTGGTTGACGTTTTTACTGGAAAAATGTTTTTTTTTGTTCCCGTACTTTTTGTTGTTACTCACTTTTTACTCTCACTTCAGATAGTAATTTTGCTGTTTGACAGTTTTACAGGATTTTTCACGAAAAGTATTGGATCAGAGCTATTGGTTAATTGGCTTGTCAAAACCACAACATTCCAAATGTCGGCATTTCACTGTCAAAGCGATGTCTTGAGAATTCGCGCGAATAGAATTCGCTCTTACCGAAACCACCGCCCAAGTCCGCATTGGCATTATTTCTCATTCTTTTGGTTAGCGCTGTAACCGTTTAAGAATTATTCGCCGAATCTAATAAAGCCCGCCAGTCGTAGGTGTTCTGAAACCCCTCCTCCCCCCTCCCCCTCCCCCAGACTTTCATGCAAATCAGTTCAGTCATTTCCGCGTATTAATTCACTAATTTTTTTCAACGGGTCGCAACTCTTAAACAAATTTAGCCTATTTTCCGCTGTAGGTCATAGCTATCTGTTTGCAAAATTTCACGCAAATCAGTTCAGTCATTTCCGCGTATTAATATAATTACTCCTTTTTAACATGTGGCAACTCCTAAAAAATTTTCCTACGTAGGTCATAAGCTGTCTGTGTGCAAAATTTCATGCAAATCCGTTCAGTCGTTTCCGCGTATTAAATTAATTTACCTTTTTTGACGGGTGGCAACTCTTGTCCAATCTGCGCCATAAGCTTTCTGTGTACAAATCCGTTCAGTTGTTTCCGCGGGATGGTTTCCCAAACACCCAAACATACAAACTTTCACATCTATATCTATATCTATATCTATATCTATATCTATATCTATATCTATATCTATATATATATATATATATATATATAAAACAAAGTCGTGTTAGTTACACTATTTATAACTCAAGAACGGCTGGACCAATTTTTATGATATTTGTTTCTTGAATTTGTCTACCTTCCGAATTGCAGAATAACTATTAAAACAACTGCTAGGTAGCGCTGGAGTCGAGTTATTAGTAAAACCCGTATTTATGGTCCGATTTGCATCATATTTTAGATGTGTGTTGACAATGGGGAAAACAATACCATTGTAAAAAAGGGCCGCCAGGTGGCGTTGGAGTCGAGTTTTTACTAAAAATCGTGTTTATGGTCCGATTCGTCTCACATTTCAAGATATTTTTATTTATTTATTGAAAAAAGGAAAGCAGCAACAGCAGCAATGGCCTTCAACTGCTTGGGTGGTGATAGAATGCCTATTTATGTAAGTGTGTTTATCAATATNTTTATTTATTATTTATTTATTCAACTGCTTGGGTGGTGATAGAATGCCTATTTATGTAAGTGTGTTTATCAATATAATGTTAATTTAAATGCTTTCGTACATATAAAGCTTACGTGAAAGAACTATATCAAATAATAAAGTCTGGCCAATTTTAAAAATTTTAAATTTTTTTCAATACTGGTAAGCGTGGGATTGGATAGTAGGGATAATGGGTTGTTATTTTGGAATAAAAGGTATCGGGAGGCACATAGTTTAGGGCAGTCGCATATGTGGTGTAAGATGATATTAGCTGTGGCGTCGAGTATGCAATCGCAAGAGGATGGGTTCTCGAGACCCATCAGGTGGCCGTGGGACAACTTCCAATGACCTATTCGTAATCTTATTAATTTTGTACAGTCTAATCTACTTATCGTTTCGGTAATGTGACTTAGATAACACTAGTTTACAAATTTTCAGTTTCAAACGAGTACCTCGATAAAAAAGTACTTTCTAGCACAATTTGGGGTTGCTGAAAACGAAAATGATACTCAATTATTTTTCTCAAGAAGCGCTTTCGCGATTTCCGCAAAAACGTGTTTTTCGTGTCTTATTTCAGTTTTTCACCGAAATCGCCGAGAAAGTTAATGTTATGAAGCAACGATATACATTTTTAGAAAGGTACAGACCTCTCCTTTACAGCAATATGTCGTTATTAGTAATCTAGGGATTATTACTTCCACAGCAGCCGTTCAAAGTTAAAAAAATTGTCATTTTTTGAGCGTTTTTGGAAGTTATTGAAATTTATCGACGTTCATAACAATTTTATAACAAACCAGTCAAGCTAAAGATCGTCTAAATTGGGCGAAAAATGTTGAAGTTATAACGTATTTTGTAAAGTGATGCATATTCAGCTTGTGACATTCAAATTTCCCTTTTTTACGCCTAAACAGAAATAAATTATGAAGCAGGGCTGGGGTTGAATCCATATCCACGGAATGTTACCAAAATGGTAAAAAACACAAAAAAGTTTATTTTATGTTAATTTATATGCCGAATCAAAGTAAACGTTGTACGGGGGAACAGAAATATCTCCAGTCGGTAAAATGTGTTACTACTTGAGCGACATTGAACTTCCGCTTTATTTACCTGCCCCGTTAGATAGTTGACAAACGTCATCGCATTTCGTTTCGTACTTTTGTTGGACAGTTGTTCCTTTGAGTTCTCTCGTATTTTAGAATGACGTCTTTCCTCTAAGGAAAAAAGCCCAAAATGTGATATCACTCACCGGATAAGTTTTGCTTTATTTGTGGTTTGTACATATTCAAACAAAGTACTCGGAAAAAAATAACCACAAACATTTTAACTGCTTATGAACAATATTTTGGAATTCAAGCCAAGAATCCGGATAAACATTGGACTCCAAACTCTGTATGTGCCATATGTTTTGTACGATTAAGCGCATTCAG